CCACCCCCAAACTTAAGGTGGGCCTCTAATGAAACTTGGAACCCATCACCCATCCCTTCAGTTTTTGCTATCATTGATGCAGCCAGCCCGAGTTTGCTCAATGAACGTGTTCGCTTTTTAATCTAAAAAACATCTTTAACTTAAGAAGTTTTCGTCTGTAGAAGGAAGGGAATTCTTTGAAACGAGAGAAACATTTCATTATGTCTTTTCAAAGAAGTGGAATTTAGGGTGTACCAAATTTTACCTACTACTAAATTATCTTTTCTTGGTCTCTTTCAATGCCAATTATGGCATTTCTTTGAAAAGAAGACCATATTTTGTCATCTAAAAAGAATACCAAAAGTATTATTGAGCCAAAATTGTGGTTTTGTCGTCCAGGTAGTGCGCTATCGTATTGGATAGCATGTGTGGATGGTTTCGCGCCTTTCGCCTCTTATGTTCTGCTCTAGAGAGGTACCTTCCTAGGCAGCCGTGCAGGCTAGAACTCGTACATGTTACTTAGTCAAATTGAAGATAAAGTACCCTCCGCGTTATAGTACAATGGTCACAGCAGCCTTTTTATTTATTTTACAATAAAATGTGCCCCCGATTTGCTATCCATAATTACATATATGGTTACTAATTCTTAGTTTCTCGTAGAAGTATAAGTTCGATCTCCACGTCACGCCCGTTCAACACTGTCTGATCTCCGGCGGTGCGCCGTCCAACACTGTCCAAGCGTGTCGCTCCAACCAAGTTCGATCTCCTTTTTGGGGTCACAGTGAGGTGGAAGTTTAAACGCATCGGACGTCCATTCGTTGGGATAATAGCATTTTATTATTAGCCCAATGTGCTCCGTAATACTTTAGGATCACATACAATCTATTGGTTTCCTTTTAAGTGGATTATAAACTAAGATATTCCGGTTTGAAGCCTACGGTGCAGATGAAAGCTGAAAAGAAGATCGAATTTTGTTGGAGCGATACGCCGGGAGATCGGACAGTGTTGAACGTCGCGCCCGGAGATCGGACAGTGTTCGTAGATGTGTGGGAAATTTGATATTACCATCTTAAGTCTCTTGCCACCCTGCGGGTGGGGCCAAACCGCTTACCGCGTTTGGTGCTCACGACAACCATTCACCGCATAGAGCTCTTTGTAACCGCTTAGGTCGCTTTTTACCGGAAATGTGATATAAATGGGGCGGAAAGTCTCGTTCGAATTACATTTTCAGTGAAAACGCGACTTCAGCTGTTATATCGGAAGCCTCCCATGGTGAGCGGTTGTCTGGAGCGCTAAACGCGGTAAGCGGTTATGGTTGTTCCCAGCCGCCTAGGTGGTGGGTGACTTTAGATTAACCGTTTGTCCAGAACGAAAACAGAAAAAGAAAGGAAGTAGTTGCTTCATGAACATGGCGGCCAGCCGGCCGCGATGTTCTTGAAGCAATGTCGTCCTTTCTTCTTCTGTTTTCGTTCTAGACAAACGGTTAATAGGTGGAATCGATTATTTTTTCAGTCAACTGTCGACGTACATTCCCAACCCGTTACTAGAATTTTGTTTAGATCAGAACGAGTCACTTCGTTATACAGCAGTAACACCTACAAATTTTCTATGTAATACGAAACATGTTTTAAGGTGCTTCATAAATTATCAGTCTGTAGCATATATTAAGAATTAGTTACATTAAATTTACTGAGAAAACAAAACTTCGTGATTGTGCTCATGCTCATTGTTATTCACAAAATTTGTTATCAATTCAACAAAATTTTTGAGTAATGACTACTGTAGAAAGACGTTCGTCGTCTTAGAAAAATTTTAGTAGTGGGGCTGAGAGTGTAGAATGCCCTTTCAAGTGGTGACTCAGTCTGAGTGCTTGTGTGTTGCAACGCAGACAAAAACTTTTTCTTGGGAAAGTCAGTCTCGTCTTTAGGAATGTCTCAGTAGAAAAGGGGTTCCAACCAAAAAGAAAAGGGGATCATGCAAGGGGAAATAGGGAAGCGAAATAAAAGTATGAAAAGGTTTAATAATGGAATATGGCTAAAGAAAGGATTGTTATTATTTTGCAATTACTGCGTTGACTGCTTTCAATCGTAGCCCGCATTCGTTTATTTTGAACTTGAAGGCTACCATAAATGAGCAAGTGTTTGTATACTACTGACCTGGGTAATCGCGATTTGAACGAGAGATTACGCTACTCTGCCAATTCAAATGTGTACATGGTACACATTAAAGGAAGTGTACATGGCATGTATGCTTTAATTAATGTGAACATGCCCATGTACACATTTATTAATGTGTACATGCCCATGTACACATTTATTAATGTGTACATGCCCATGTACACATTTATTAATGTGTACATGCCCATGTACACATCTTTTAAAGTGTACATACAACCGATAGTATACCGGGTGTAACTGAGAATGCGCAACAGTGTTGCGGGATTGCATACCCGCCAGGGCTGCAGGGGCCATGGCGCCTTACGGGCTAACTGGGTAGGCAAACCCGCAATACTGTTGCGCATTCTCAGTTACACCCGGTACATGCCGTGTGCACATCTTTTAATGTGTACATGCTAGGCATGTACACATTAATCAAAGCATACATGCCATGTACACTTTATTTAATGTGTACTATGTACACATTTGAGTTGACAGAGTATAGTGTAATATATTTATATATTTATCAATGAAAACCCCTCTCTTGCGGTAATTTCAATATTTTCAATATTTCTGGCCCCTCGCAAATATTTCTGAAGTATTTGGGAAGAGTTTCCAATCTTTCCGGTAAATTTCCGACCCCGAAACCTTAATTTGGCATTTATTTCGAACTATTTCGCATTTATTTCGGGGGAAGGTAGTATACGAACTCTTTCACAAGTGATTTACCTCCGACGTAGACGTTTTGAAACACGACAAACGACAACCCCCAAACTGATATCTATATGCCAGCTTGGTGCTTGGTTTTACTCCGAGTCGGAAAGTTGTTTTTCTCTGCATTCCCAGAACAGTTGCACCTTCTTAACCCCATCTCTCTCCTTTTCCTCCCCCCCCCCTCCCCCTGCCCCTTTTCTCTCTCATTTTCTCGTCAGGCAATGCACCGCACGTCCCGATGCAATGCTAGGGAATCGGATTGATATAGGTGCGGAATAGGAGCCGACACCGCCATTCCCCACCCCCTCCCCCATCGTATTACGCCCCGCGCTCCACACGACGTATTTGCGAGTACCCATAATGCGAGGTCTCTTGATATGCAAAGTAGGGAACAAAACGATGCTCTTCCCGTGGACCCACGCCTTTCCACTCGGAAGCTCTTTAAAGTAGTGTGTTGACGGAGAGGAGAAAAGAACAATAAGCTGAAGTGCAGTAGGGAATGGAAAAGGGGTACAGCCCCCCCCCTCCGAGAAATGCCCAGGACCTGGTGTCGCGGTCTTATTAGAACATCGCGGTGTAAGACACGTGTGAGAAATTAACGCCCTCAACGCACTCCAATTTTAATAGCAAAATTAATAGACAGTGTTTTGGCGGCAAAAATTCTTACCTGCCTAGCAACAGCCGACCCGTGGATGATTGAGCGTGCTTCTGGAATTTATACGCGGTGAACTCACCCCTTCTCTCTTTGTAGCTCCGAAAATTGTATGTTTCTGTTCGACTAACTCTTGTGATTTGATACGGAGCATGTAAGGACACAAACGAGAGAGGGGGAAGTTTTATTATACATCCACTCCAACACACGCACACACAGAGAGGGAAGGGGGACAGGGTGGGGAGGGAAAACTCAAATACATACATAAACTACAGTAATTCTCCTTGCTTCTCTCTCTTTCTTCGTCGCATTATCGTTTCCTCCTCTTCCTCCACCCGTTCGGGTTTCAAGTTCGGGCGCGCGCGCTCGCCTGTTCTGTTGCTCTTCGGGTGTTTCCGCCGGCGCTCGGCCCTCGGCTTCGGCTGTTCGTGCCCCGCCTGGCCACCCGCTGGCCTAGATCGTCAGTCTTCGCGCGCACGCTCTACCAGGCAGTCGCTGTGTGAGCCGTCGCCACGAGGCGCTCTGTACGCCGCGCACTTCTCTACGTCGCGTCACCCACAAAGGATTAAGTGCTGGTGCTTAGTGTGTGCTCTGTGAAAGTGTGCCGTGGATAAGGAGGAGGATGATGTGCTGACCTACCAACCATTTGGAATACAGTTTTCTTGTGGCCTTACCGACAGTTTTGTCAGTGATGCGAGTTGGAAGGCTTGTGATCTGCCCCCGTGTCGCTCGTGGAGAGCAGATCTTGTGTGTGTGATTTTTAAGAAATGTCAACCGCCGTAGTAGACTACATGTACGGTGACAAAGTGGGAACTTATTACGGATATCCTCCTCGGAACCAAATTCAGGTGAGACTTCTACTCCGTGGCTGTGTTCATGTGGGGCTTCCCTTGTGCTTGCCGGTATAGTACGGTCCGAGCACCTGGTGCTTTTTTAAATAAAAATAAAATTTGAAATCAGTTTGTCAACAAACAGGTGTTTAAATTAGCGAACCTAAGGTAACCTCATATTTTGCCCAGTCCTGTTTAGCTGAGGTATTTACTGGGGCGTGAGTAGAATTGAAGGCCAGCTGTGCTGAATGATAGTCAAGAAGTCATGTTTTAAAATCTTATGGCACATGCCGTTTAGCTTCTGGCTGACTTGCAGCACTATTATGTTATATCCATCCCTTGTCAGTATACTCTCAAATACGGGTCCAAAGCATCTGAAGTAACCTGACAAGACAAATGGGATGGAAACAAGGGACAAAATGATATCGAGTTACGTACTAAGCGCCCCCTCTCCCTTCCTTGATTTTTCGGTGCGAAACAACCATATCCAGGGCAGGAAACTAATCAATACTGAAATCCAGTATAATCATCAATTTCACAATCACTCGACAAGAGCAAGTAGCAACTTTCGGATACCAAAAATTAATACCTCCCACTATGGAACGCAAGGCTCCTTGTATCAAGCCATAAAGCTCTATAACTCCATGCCACAAGAAGTTTTGGACCTCACTGACTATAGAAAATTCAAAAGTAACTGCAAATCTGTTTTCTTTCAGAAGTTTGTTCAAGAACCATGATTCTTTTGCCAATTGCATTCATCAATTTATTATAATGTTATTCCTCCATATATTTTATATATTATTTATTATCTATCTAAAATTTTGTTACCTCCATAAATCTCATTTATAATCTTTGT